TTACCTTTAGCATCATCAGGCCCTTGCTCTACCGACACTTCAGCCGGTTTCGCCATTCGCAGATAATGGTTCAAATCCCCTTCAGTCATGTACTCAAATATCATCCCGTATGGCTCTTCCTCCGTAGAGACCGCAATTAGAGACACTAYGTTAGGATGCTGAAAGATGGACATGAGAGCTACTTCTTGGTAAAATTCTTCTTTGAGTTCTTTTGAGGAGCCTTCTTTGAGAGCTTTGACGGCAACCAAGAGCTCTTTTTTTGGTTGTCTTTCTATTATGCCAACTGCACGACCTTGTGAAAAAGTAAAAGAGACATTTGGATTTATCGCCTAGGGATAGGTGGGAAAATCCCCCCCAGGTATTGGCGTAATGGCGAAGCGAAAGGGGGGGAGGGGGGCAAGGGAAGACGATTCCCCCCCCCCCCCCACTCAATTGTTTTTGAGAATTAATTGTCGAACTGATCAACCAGTCCAGGGGAGTTGTTTCGGAATTTTAAAATTATTGCCAGAGCTGTTACGGAATTGGTTCACTTGTGGTCGTAATAAAATCGTTATATATATATATATATAATGATTGAGAATTTAAATACCTTGAAATACTTTGCCAAAGTGGCCCTCGCCTAGATCCTTGAGGTACTCCACATGGTCCAACGGATAGTGCTTTAATTTACTAGGATCGTATAATCGTAACATCCTCGAATCTAAGCTCTTCAGTGAATCAGCTCTCAGCTTTTGTCGCATGGTTAAAGCTCCTTCGCCGAGGATCAGCCTGCCGTTTTTCATGGCATTTTTCCTCTGCTTCTTTCGGCGCCATAGGAAAATGGCGACGACGAAGACTACGAGAAGAACAATAAGAATAACGGGGAGAATGATGGCTGCCAAGTTTGTACCATCATCTTCACCTCGTTTGCTCTCTCTCGTCGTGAAATCTTTAATAGAGAAAAGAATCAGTTTGTTAGAAAGCAAACAAAAGTAAGCCAGGAAGACAGACAGACGGACAGACAGTCACTTACTAAAAAATCCTGTCTTAACGCAACTGTCATTGGACGACATGTCATAACTGGTACTTGGCTTATATCGTGAACAGTTTGGGAACCCTGTGTGGATAAAGTCAATCTGCTTTGATTTAGCGATGTGCTTGACGGCTCCTATCACCTGGAAAAGAGAAAAATCATTACATGCATAAATGGAATGGATGGATGAATGGACGGGACGGGACGGGACGGGACGGGACGGGA